ATAAATATAAATAATAATACAGTTATTACTAATAAAATTAAATGAATAAAAATAAGAAGTCATATAAAATAAAGTATTATGAATACATTAATAATAATAAATATGAATAATTTCCCACTGGGAATATTAAAGTATTAGTAATTAATACTCAAATCAGATTGACTGAAACAGCAGATCTATGTTTACATATGCAAAAGTTCAGCCTTTTCAAAAGTGATTTTTCATCACTTTTGGAGTGTGCTGATATTATATTATATTATATTATATTATATTATATTATATTATATTATATTATATTATATTATATTATATTGTAAAGCTGCACTGTTTCTGATCTTCCTCTTAGATATTTGCCTGATTAAAACTTGCCGGACAATTAATATAATAATGTTACGTTTTCACCAAAATGCCACTTAGCAAAACAAATCCTTAACACAAAAGTAGGTCAAAGCCAAAGTGATAAATCTGACAAAGGTTTCCTTCCTGTGCTATAAAATCTGAAAGCTGGTAGCAGCCATGAAGACAGAAAGTCTTCCAGTGTTATATTACATAATAGAGCCAGAACAGAAGATATTTATACACAAAGATATTTTTCACATGACACCTTTGACACCTCATTTGAGACCAGCCGTGCATGAGAAAAGGCCGTTTGGAGCATACGCCTCATCCATATCAAATTTGACTCTGCGGGGAAAAGAAAGAGCAGATAAATGACTTCACTGAACTTTATAATTCAACTTGTCTACAACAAGCTGTTTTACTTCTGTCATGAATTTTATATGGTCTGTCATTTATTAGGGCTGTGTATTAGGCATGAAATGACTTAGAAAATGTCCCTGACACTGTTTTTTTTCTCTTCATCGTTACTGGCCCCTCGAAAAAGAGCTGTGATTCCACCAATTTAGATCTTTTTCTGTTTTGTTAGTCTTTGAAATGTTTTACTTTGATAAAGCAAAATGACACTTACTGTGCAGATCTGTGGGAAGGACCAACTTAGACTTCATCACAAGGTGCTTTAACCCTGTAAAGCCAAATGTATCATATTTGATTCATACGGTTTCTGAAATGTTTTGCGTCTGACACCTTTTGCATAATTTAATGGTAAAAACTCAT